GGGATTGGTTCCAGGATTTCCACAAGATATATTTTTATATAGAAATCCCTTATATGAAGAGGTGTAATATTTGCATGTATCTACACATATCCTCCAGTGTACTTTAAATCATGTCAAAGTTAATTGTTAGTATCAAATACAATGTAAATGCTATGTAAATACTTGTAATGTTGCGTTGTTTAGAATATAATGGCAAGGAAAAAAGTGTACATGTTCATTCAGTACATCAATTTTTTCCCTAATATTTTTGATTCGTGGTCACTTGAACCCATAGGTGCAGAACCACAGACAGACAAGACCAGCTGTGCATGCCAAGTTAGTTTTCCCCTTAAGGTCTTGTTTCTTACATACTGAAATGTATTTGCATGCTTAATGTTTTCTTTAAATCATGGTAATGAAGCTTCAGACAATGGAGACTGACCTCTTTCTTATTAAGTCTTCTCTCTGTACAGAATATTCTGCCTCCCCACTCTCCATCTTAAGCCAAATGTCACTCCTCAGCGATGCCTTCCCTGATAACCTGATGCAAGTAGACATTTTCTCTATAATAACTTATCATTACCTGAAGTATTCTTGTTCACTTGTTTGTCTGTTCTTGTCTGTCTGCCTTCACTAGCATGCAAGGTCCATGAGAAAACTTTGTCCTGTTCACTCCTGTATCTCCAGTCCCTAGAAGAGTAACTGACACATTGCAAGCATTCAACATGCCCTATTCTGGAATGTGGGGTTTCACTGAGAGATAGTAAGCACACTGGTTCAAAGTTGGTGTTCAAAAACATTAATATTATTTCTTACCTCTTTTTTTAAGGGGGATATACTGGGGTTTGAACTCAGTGTCTCATACTTGCTGGGCAGGTACTCTACCACTTGAGCCACACCTCCAGCTCTCTTTCCGACCTTTTTTTTTTTTTTTTTTGTGGTACTGGGGTTTGAACTCAGAGCCTACAACTTGAACCACTCTACCAGACCTTTTTGTGATGGGTTTTTTCAATATAGGATACCTGGCCCTTTCTTACCTCTTGATGAGAATAATCAGTTCAGTACCCTCATCAGCAAATATCACATACATATCATTTTGGATGTAAAAAATGTTGCATGCTATTATTTCTAAAGCACATAGTAAAGGAATAATGACAATATATGAGGTATTTTCTTTTAGTTCCTTCTAATCTACTGTACTCTTTGCCACTCTGATCTATGTCCCCAAAACAGACATTTAGGACTATTTCATAAGGTTCCCTTATTTGCTGGCATGTGACTGGGTTTGGTCAATGGGAGGTACCATCTAAAGATCAGAAAGGAAGAGCAGACAGGTGCTGGTGACTCACGCCTATAATTCTAGCTACTTAGAAGGAAGAGATCAGAAGGATCATGGTTCTAAGCCAGCCAAAGCAAACAGTTTGTGAGACCCTATTTCAAAAACACCCAACACTAAAAAGGGCTGGTGGAGTGGCTCAAGGTGTAGACTCTGAGTTCAAACCCCAGTACCGTAAAAAAGAAAGCAAGAGCAGAGTGAAATTTTCTTGACTGCATTCCTCTACTGAAGGCTTCAAGTTCTATTGGGCCACCCTCTCCTGTTATATCCTGTTGTTTTTCTATAATCCTACCTACACCTTTGTAAATAGTCTCCATTAAATTCTCAGTCATCAAGGTGTATCATAATGGAATGTCCATCTGTTTCCTGGTAGAGCTCTGATTGAAATAGACAGAATGTGAAAAAGTGGGTAGAAGTACAATGTGGACTACAGCAAAAACAAAACAGCAAACATAAGAAAAGTTATGGAGTGATTAGCACAAATGATGGCCCAAAATGTGCACATTCTTATGAGTCCTCTCTTGGTGCCTGTGGACCACAGTTTCTGATGTTGGGTGTTCTAGAAGCAGATGCTGAGATGGAGTTTGGAGTTCAAGGTATTAATATCCACAAAAAGAAGGAGCAGAGAGCCAGGATTGGGTAAAAGAGAAAGTCAAGACCTTGATCTGCTACCAGCTAGAGGTAGTCCACTGACCATACTCACTGCAGACAGGCAGAAAATCCAACCTGGAAGTGGTGATGTAGGGGTCGTTGCCGTGTCTTCCACCAGCTTGAATCTCAGTCTGAACTGGGCCTCATCTCTTACTGAACACCTGTCCACCATGGGACCTGTTTCCAAAGGCTCTGCTCTCCCCTAAAATCATACTAGTTTCGTTAGTTCCACTAACCCAAAGTACCTCCCAATTAAACTTCACTTCAGGATATCTGAGCTCCTAAGAGAGAAGATAGTAATTTATTGTTTTTTTTTCACTTTGTTTGCATTTGCCTTGCCCAGAGTAGGCAAGCACTCTACCACTGAGCTACATCCCCAGCCCAAGAAGATAGTAATTTAAAGGATAAAAAATAACATCACTAAGCAGTGTAGGAAAGCTCTCATAATTATGTCACATAGGCTCTGTGATTTCATCTCTAAGATTCTATGTGTGAAAGAAAAAAGATTCTATGTGTGGCTTTGATTATATTCACTTTTTTTTTTTTTTTGTGGTACTGGGGATTGAATTCGGGGCCTACACCTTGAGCCACTCCACCAGCCCTTTTCTGTGATGGGTGTTTTTGAGATAGGGTCTCTTGAACTATTTGCCCAGTCTGGCTTTGAACCCCAATCCTCCTAATCTCTGCCTCTTCTGAGTAGCTAGGATTGTAGGCGTGAGCCACTGTACCTGGCTGATGATTCACTTTTAAACTTTATGCTGTAGGTTTGGTTTGCACGGAATGCTACAGGCCTTCCAGTCATGTTCTTGGCCAAGTTGTGCTACCATGACTCCTTTCTTGGTGTTAGCTTTATTTTTGAATATTGATATATTTCATTTGCAAAATGCATCAGCAATTAGGTAATATCTGACTAAATTAACGTGACTCTTATTTATAGTAAAAAAACATTCTTTGGTTTCTTAAACTAAATGCTCTTGTCTTCTTCCTATTGCCATCTCTTTACCTGACTCTGTTAGAAATGACAAATACTGTTCTACCACATTTTCAGATGTCTTGTTAAATTATCTTTAAATAGTGATCTGAGTACAAAGTAAGGTCTTCTAAGTGCATTTAAGTAGCAAGAGTGTGGGAGCAAATCTCTCCAGGCTGGTATTGTTAACAAGATGGTTTTTTCTACTCAAATTTGCTTTAGGACAATAAATAGACTAATTAAAGTTTGCTGGGCTCTTGTTCCTCTTAATTGGAATGTGATTAATTAGTTTTGAATTTAGCAATAACATCTTTAATATTGTATACCAAAGAAAGGATACTTAAAATGTTTTTGACTTAATTTAGGCTTTGGTAGTATAAATTATGCAAGTACCCCTGTGCCAAATCCTGAAGCTGAAAAGTCGATCCTTATTTAAATGACTTCCGCAACGTAGCCTTATAGATTTGTGAAGGTATTTAAGAAACTAACCTATACTGTTGTGTGTGTGTGTGTGTGTTGTATATACAACTACAGTGTGCTCTGCTGCAAACCAGTTGACCCTCCAATGAATGCTCTATCAGATTCTTTCAGAGGACATAAAAACCTTATCTTCGAGACTGCAGACTTCCTACTGATCATTGGTTTTGAAAAACCAAGAAAGCAGCAAGCAAATGTATTTCCTTTTTTTAGGGCTTTGAAAGCAAAGGTCCCTCACTTTAGTTTGCTTGGGTGCCTGACATTTGTCTTACTTGTGTCAGGCACTAGAGGGGAGTGTGGTGTCTGTTCATACCAGTGTGGTGTTCTGACCTGAGAACCTATAGATCTAGTGTCTTATCCAAAAATTCCCAATATAGGACTTTGATCCTTTTAAACTGACAGCAAAATTCAAACAACTTGATTTTGATAGGTTTATTGTTATTTTAAGATTATATATGCTCAGTGATTACAAAAAGAAAGCCATAAAATATGGAAAACTTACAAAGAAGAATACCACCTGAGATCACACTTTATGCTACCACAAACGCGGGAGCGTTTTTTCGGACATCTCTGTCTCTCATTCTGCACTTACGGGAATAATACTACTTATTATTAAACTCTACTTGCTTTTTCTGGAATAGTGTTGTTACAAACTGAGTAGATGTCTTTTTTACTGCAGATGACTCAATCCTTGGTTGTAAAATATAGTGGTTATGACTATGTCGTATCACAGTGCCTAAATTGCTTCTCCACTCACCACATGACACAGTGACTGAGACTGTCTCTGTGTGCCTCAGTTTCCTCATATGCAGATATGGTGGTGATGTTACCTGCCTCAGAGAGTTTGTATGAGGGTTAAATCAGATCATAGATAAGTACTGAAGACAATAAGTGGAGCATAGTAAGTAGTTACTAGGTTTTAGCTATCATTAACTTCATACTGACATTGAAGAGGTTTTTTGTTTCATTTTGCTGCTAGGCATTGAACCCAAGGCCTTGCACATGCTAGGCAAGTCTTTACCATGGAGCTACATCTTCAGCTAAGAGTTTTAAAAATATTTAAATGGGTTGGTTTTCCAGATAATTTTTATATTTTAAAACCATTCTTTTATCATAAATCATCACTGTTTTATATACAGCTATATACTTTCTCTGCCGAAGTTGGAATTTGTGTGTAGCAAATACTTGGTTTGTACTTGTTGACTGATTGACATGTAGACTGTAACAGAGATTAACTACCTTTTTGTAGAGGCCTGCTTAAGAATTGTCCTGTCCAACACAAGGTACCTTTAAGTGAGTCAGTTTCACATGGGCCACCATTATAAGACATTAGTCCAACTAAAAAAATCCCTGTTAATTATTAAACCCTTATGTATTATCTGGACATCTGACACTGCAGACTGAGAACAGAGAGCGTTTGTTCCTCAAGTTAAGTCTATCTACACACCAATAGAAAAATGTAGTTATCAAGGGATTAAAGAAAAAAAAGTAGGGCTTTTTCTCCGGTATTTAGTGAAGAGAGTAACTCTGTTTTGGCTGACATGTCTACAACCTAACCCTTTGGGTTTCCTGGCTGCTTGCTTTAGCATGGCGGAGATTAGTGTTCACAGAGTCCTTCTTTTGGCTTTTTCTCTGGCAAAGTGTCTGGAGGGTACAAAACTGCTGGCACATCTTAAAAAGTGTGGTGACTTGGAATGTGAAAGTAAGTTTGCTTTCTTCTTCTCTTAATAATGTTAATTTTTTCTTTTAATAATGATAATAATGTTAATTTTTATCACGTCTGCAATAAAATGTTATGTGATTTCAGAGTTTAGGATTACAAGTGTGAACTACCAGCACTCGGCTATGCCTTTGAATATTAAACCTGATTTACCATGAAGAGAAATGAATCTCCATTTTAATGTGTAGAACTTAACTTTTGCCAGCACTGGTGGCTCATACCTGTAATCCTAGCTACTCAGGAGGCAGAGATCATGAGGATTGTGGTTCGAAGCCAGCTGGAGCAAATAGTCCCTCGAGACCCTTTCTTGAAAAACCTTTCACAAAAATAGGGCTGGTGGAGCAGCTCAAGGTGAAGGCCCTGAGTTGAAGCCCCAGTACTGCAAAAAAAAACCCCAAAAAACCAAAAACCTTAACTTTTTGGTATTAGAATTATTGTATAAAATACTTGCATCTGCATATATTAAAGTTGGTATAAAAAAGTTTCATCTTTCCAGTATGGGAATCATTTCTAACTTTGTAACATACAAATTAAAAATGCAAAATATGATTAATATATGATTAATATAAACATAAATAATTTATAAGCAATATTTTATGTTCAAACACTTAAACCTTTGTGTATATAATTCAATATGCAGAGAAGTTTACTAGGTAGTACTTTATAGTAAAAATCCTTCTTTCCCTCTTTACATTATAACCACATTTTAGTATTCTTTGGGTCTGACAGAACACAAAAAGAGAACATTCAAACTTATAGTAATTTGTAATGTTATTTAACTCTAATTGCATGACTTAATGAAAAAATTTAAAAATTTTACACATTAGTATTATTGTAATAGTTATATGGTATGTATTTTACTTTGCGGTTATGATGCATTCACTCTTACTGAGGGCCTATTATAAGTTGGGGGTGGATGCCATGCATTCAAAATGAATAAAGTTAAGTATAAGTTTCTTGCCCTCCAGTAATATTTATTCATTCATTCGGTATGAAAGAGTACATAGTGATATGACATAGGATGGATGCTAGAGCATAGAGTTCAGAGAAGGAACAATCAGAGTAGGTTGGAGTGATTAGGGATGCCTTGGAGAGGAAGCAGGATATGAGTTAAGCAAGAAGGGTTTCCAGGCTGGGAAAGAGCAGAAGTAGAAGTTTAGAATAAGGAGGTGACATTGCAGTGAAAAAAACCCCAAAAACCAAAAAAACTCAGTACGAATTTGGCTCCACCAGAGCTGTGTGACCAACTCTCTAAGCCTTAGCTAAAGGCTCGTTCATTAAACTGAGATGAGTTTACCTTATAGATCTGTTTTGAGTATTTAATAAAATGAAAATATGAAATGTGTTTAACATAATGCCTAAAAATATAATAGGTATTAGGAAGAAAATTAATGATCTTTTCTTTTCCTGCAGACTGAAGAATGATAGTGACATGTTTCAGGGACAATAGATTTACAAGCTTGATTATAACCCTGAGTAGGAGGAGGTACCTTTAAATAAGGAAGGGAGACTAGGTTATGAACATCTTTAAATACCGAACAGAAACCCTGGACTTGATTCTGTGGGCAGTGAGAAGTTTGTGTAGGTTTTGAAAACACAAGTGATATCAAGATATTGGTATTTCAAAACACATAGGATTGAAGGAGGGCAAATGGAAGAAGAGCTGGGTGTGGTGGGAGATGCCTTTAATCCTGTGCTTTCGATATTGAGGCAGGAGTATGTCTAGTTTGAGGCCAGACTGGGCTACATAACAAGACCTGGTCTAAACAAGCAACCAAATAAATACATAAAAACAAGATGAGAGGAAGATCAATAACATCTTCTTTGCATGCTTGCATAGCTTTACTCAGCAGAGCCTTAGCTGTGAGAGATCACATGGGACCTGACTGCCGATTCCTGAACTTCACTGAGGGAGAAGAGATAGCTGTTTATGTCAAACTTGCAGGCGAGAGAGAAGATCTGTGGGCAGGAAGTGTGAGTATCCAGTCTGAAGAACTGAATGCAGAATAAATGACTAACTTGCACAAGGATACCTACTTTCATCTTTAAAGGAACTCTTAAGAATTTTAAAGTACTATATAAACATTAAAAAATCTTATATCATTTAAGCAAACAAAACATCATCATGTTCAGTGATGGTTCCAAAATTTCTATAGAAGAGGTTTTTGAGAAGACAGTCTGATTGACGTGAAGGGCTAAGGGAAATGCCTTGAAATTATTTTTTTTTTTACATAGTATGCATAGTTTTTAAACTTAGATTTCATGTTTATTTTGAGAGACTTTAAGGGTGCTGATGTATGGAATGGCTGGGCAACCCCAGTTGTCTCTTGTGTCAATGGTCAAGTTTGAGAGAGACTAGAAAGTTTTGATTAATCAGATTAAAAGATATGTTTTTCTGAACAAATAAAGGCCTGAGTTGTTACTGAAGAGATTGCTAGAAAGGCTGGTAGCCTATGGAAGTGAGTGTATAAGTGACATTTTCATGGAAAACAAAATAACAACTGGAAGACCCTTTTATCTGGTCCAAAGTCTTAGTACCCTGAAATTCTAAAAGCCTGAATCGTCTCTGAATATTCAGCACAGGAAAATTATGATTAATATTTTTAGTTGGAAAAAGTTTATCTCTTTGATTATTTCTTTATACTTTAGGATAACAACATGCTATGATAAGTGATTTTACTCCCAAAAGGAGCAAACAGAACAAGCATGACCAAGCAGATACACACATCATTTGCACATTGTGTATGTGTCAGATTTCTCCCTTCTGTAGTCCCAGCAGTCATTGTTTGCCAAGGAGCAGATTCTATCTGAAATCCTGTTTTTCACATCAGGAGCTGAGTCACTGAACTTTTGACCGTTACTGGCCAGAATTGTTTACTTGTCTGAAGCTTGCAACATTCTTTACTGCTTAGGATAACTTCAAAATGCCTGTCTATGCTTTGAAGGCATTGGAGGAATCCAATGCAGGTGTAAGAAAAATGATATAGCAGGTGTCATAAGAAGCAAAGAAAGCATTGTTTCTTTTTCACTAAGAGAGAAAACAATAGTTCTATATAAAAAACAGTGTTTAATGTGTGGAGCCAGGGTGAAGTTTCAGGTACTCTCAGTTTGTGGGAGGCCATGCACATAACTAGTTAAGGACCCAAAGCCTGGTAATTTCCAAATCATTGTAACAACTGGAAAGCAGGAAGACCCACATTCAAGGTGTAATGTAGTGGACCAAAAGAAGTATGTTCTTTCATTTTGTTGTTTTTTTGGTGGTACTGGGGTTTGAACTCACGGCCTCACACTTGATAGGCAGGCGCTCTACCATTTGAGCCCCTCTAAAAAAATGGTTTTTGTTGTTGTTCTTTAAACTTTAATAGGAATAAGAAAGGAGGAGAATGATTGTGTGAAGCCTTCTCTCTTGGGACCATCCTGCACATACTTGAACTGGATTAATAGAACTTCTGTTACCACATTAGGCCCAGAAAAGTTGAATAGAACCAAATTTCTCTAAAGGACTTGTGAACCTTTATTCTCTTGATGAATCCATCTGTGGCTCTTTAGAATTTAAATCTCTTACCTCAGTGTGTCAGAGTGCTATCTTGGCTATTGCTGCCATTCCTTGTTTTTTGATATCCTGGGTCTATTGGTGTAAGTCTGCAGTCCACCTGGGCAAAGAAGGTCACTAAAAAAAAGACAGAGAGAGAGAGGGAGAGGGGAAGAGTGGGAGATGAAGAAGAGAGGAAGCGGGAGAGTATACAGGATGGCTTTCATTCTGAAGTTCAAAATGGTGGCATTTCATAGTTTGATTCATTGTGTCCTTAAATTAATGCTGTGTCCTTAAATTAATGTTAATGCTGTTCTTTTGAAGAATAATATAGTTTCACTCTCTTTTTTTTGTGCTTGAACTCTTTTTTTGTGCAGCTTGTGCTGAACTCTTTTTTTGTGCTAACTAGGCAGGTGTTCTACCACTTAAGTCATTCTGCCAGCCCTTTTTTGTGTTGGTTATTTTCAAGGTAGGTTCTCCTGAACTCTTTGACTGGGGCTGCCTTTGAACCCCGGTCCTCCTGATCTTTGCCTCCTGAGTAGCTAGGATTACAGGTATGAGCCTTTGGTGCCCGACTTAAAATATGTTTTTTTTTTTTTCTGTCAGCACTGTGGTTTGAACTCAGGACCTCACGCTTACTAGGCAGGCACTCTTACTTCTTGAGCTACTCCACCAGCCCTCACTCTCTTTTAGATGGCAACTGATAGCCAGTTAATGTTTTGTGATTTGACATAGATGAAAGCCAAGGTCATAGGCAAAATTAGGCTCAATAGTTAATATTGCTTTGATCACTCTTTCTTAATAATCTTTGTTCTTCATTTTGTTAGAAAGGAAAGGACTTTGGATTTTTTCCCAGAGATGCAGTCCAGACCGAAGAGGTGTTCATATCTGAAGAAATTGAAATGTCAACTAAAGTGAGTAAATTCATTTTCAGCTATTAATTGAAACTGGATATTTCTTAGCTAAAACAGTTTTCCTTGGTGTGAGTGTGCATTTTATAGTGGAAAACAGTTGGGTCTGAGAACTTTACTCTTGGAATAGTTTCTGTGATAAAATTAGATAAGAAAAAATTGATGACAGTTAAAGGTTTTGCTTTTCTGAACACTCAACATAAAGACAATAAAGTATAGTGGTAAAAGTATGTATTCTAGAGAAAGACTGTGTTTAAAGCCTAACACAGCTGGGTGTGGTGACTTACACCTATAATTCTGGCTACTTAGAAGGCAAAGATGAGAAGAATTGAGGTTCCAGTCCAGGCAAAAACGTTTGAGACCTCATTTCAACAAATAAACCAAGGATTGTCTGAGTGGCTCAAGTGGTAGAGTGCCTACCTAGCAAGTGTGAGGCCCACAAATAAACCAGGCATGGTGGTGTTCACGTATGTGAACTCAGCTCCACTGGAGACAGAGGTAGAAGGACACTGTTCTTGGCTGGCCTGGGCAAAAGCATAAAACCCTATTCAAAAAACAAGTAAAGCAAAAAGGGGCTGGGGGTATAGCACAAGAGGTAGAGTACTTGCCTAGCAAGTGCAAAGCCCTGAGTTAAAATTTCAGTACTGCAAAAAAACCTGACTCAACCATTTACAACGTGGCACTGTGTGCCTCAGTTTTGTCTTATGTAAAATGAGAGTGATGAATATAACATAGTGCTACTTCAAATTTATTGAGGACTGAGTATTTGAAAATATGTAGAATGGCACTTAGTGTTAATATAATCAGTATTGTCTTATAAGGACCAAAGTTTATTTCCCACCATACTCCATAGGTCTCATATTTGTAGAGCCTCTTGAACTTTTGGAGTTTTTAATGAGCTTAATAATGTTGAATTTGATAAGGGAATCAGATAGTGACTTTTTAATATATGAACTTTTAGCCAATTTAATTCAGATTCCAGGTGAAGCTAATTAATTGCAAAAAGTTTAGTGTGAAGTAAGGCTGCTTAGTTAAGCAAGGTATTGTCTGGCTTTTTCCCAACACAAACAATGGGATTAACTGTCCATTTCCTGTATGAGTATAGGTCCTGTCAGTTCTGTCTCCATAGAGTACCTGTCCTGTGTTGGCTTCTCTGTATTTTCACTCTTACTGTAGCACTTCTTTAAAACACTATAATCTCCTGATTGGAATATTACAGTAGCCTTCAAACTGGTCTCTGAACAGCAATGGATTTTGTAGAAAAACCAAAAAAGCAGGTCATGTTGTTGCTGTGCTAAATCTCTTTCATGGCTTTTCACTGGATCCAGTATTGTGCCCGGAATCCTTGCCCTGGCCCCACAGGCCCTTACCTATCTGCCCTGCTCCTTTCTTGTGCCACTGTCCTCTCACTCACCATGATTCTGGACAAATTGGCCTTTGGGTTGTTCTTAGAATATGCCAAGCCCTTTCTCAACTCAGGTACCCAAATAGGCTTTTTCTTCTGGTTAGAATACTTTCTCTGAGTTCTTCATGTAACTAATCCTTCCTCCTTCTCCTCTTTCGGTCTTTCTCTCTCTCTCTTTTTTTTTTTTTAATTTGAGACAGGGTCATGCTATATAGGCCAGACTAACCTCAAACTCACCATCCTCCTACCACAACCTCTCAAATGCTGGGATCATAGGTATCACTACAGTGCACCACTCCTGGCTTGACTAGGTCCTTCTCATTCTTTAGGCCACAGCTTAAACATTAGTGCCTTCCAGGAAACTTTTGGGATAACAGACGTGTTTATTTATGTAGACTGTGGTAATGGTGTGACACCAGTGTATATTTGTCCAAACCCACCAAGTTAGACACGGTAATTATGTTGTGCAGTTTTGTATGCCAATTATTCCTCCATGCAGATGCAGGTAAAAAGTATGTTGATATAGCAAATTAATGGGCTGGTGGAGTGGCTTAAGTGCTAGAGTACCTGCCTAGCAAGTGTGAGGCCCTGAGTTCAAACCCCAGTACCACAAAAAAAAAAAAAGGAGACAGCAAATTAAAAAAAGAAAACAGCCAGATGCTGGTGGCTCACGCCTGTAATCCTAGTTACTAAGGAGGCAGAGATCAGGAGGATCGACGTTCAAAGCCAGTGGGCAAATAGCTCCACAAGATCCTATCTCCAAAACCCATCGCAAAAAAGGACTGGTGGAGTAGCTCAAGGGTTAGGCCCTGAGTTCAAACCCCAGTACTGCAAAAAGAAAACAGTGCCTCAGAGAGTCCTTTCCTGGTCATTCTATTTCTTTCTTTTTCTTTTTTTTTGGTGGAATTGGGGTTTGGACTTAGTGCTTCTTGTTTGCAAAGCAGGCACACTACTGCTTGAGCCACATTTCCAGTTCATTTTGCTCTTGTTATTTTGGAGATGGGATCTCTTATGGTATTTGTTCAGGCTGGCCTCGAACCATGATCCTCCCAATTTCAGCCTCCCAAGTAGCTAGGATTACAGGCATGAGCCACCAGCCTCCAGCTTCCTTGTCTGTTCTTTCTTTTTTTTTTTTTAATGGTACTGGGATTTGACTCAGGGCCTTATACTTGCTAGGCAGGTGTTCTACTGCTTGAGCTCTTCTGCCTGCTCCTCCAATGTCTGTTCCTAGTGTCAAAAATATATTATAAACTTGTAATTCTGAAGTTTGTTTTTCAAAAATCTGAACTTTATTCTCAGTTCATAGTGGCAATATCCAATGAGAAGCACATATCACTATTTCTAAGTTTCAGATTTCTAAAAAATGGCTTCTTAATTTTTTCTTTGTGAGTTTGTAGCACAGTGAGATGAACAAATAGATCCCCAACTCCCACTAGATATATGTAATAGATGAATAAAGGAAGTCTAAAAATTTTGGTGCAACTTTTTTAATAGTAAAACAATAGTAAAGGTAAAGAAAAGAATTTAGTATAAAAGGATAAAGGTGAGGAAAAATGGGGGAGAGGGAGAAACATTTCCTGCTCCTCATGCAGGAAATGAGAGTAAAGACTCAGTTAATGTAAATTTATTCAGGCTTTTATGCTTTAACATCTCTGGTCTATTTGAGCTGTGACCATAGCAGTGAAATTGCCCTCTGTCTTAGTCTGTTTTATGCTGCTAAAAGAATACCATATAACAGAGATGCAACTTTAAGAGAAAAGAAGTTTATTTCTCACTGTTCTAAAGGCTAGAAAGCCCAATCTCAAGGTACCAGCATCTGATAATGTTTTTCTTGCTGAATATTCCATGGTGGACTGTGAAAGCATGACAGAGGGCAGGAGAGAGCAAGAGGGAGTTGGGTCCATGCACTGATAAGGCACTCCTGGGATAATAAACCCACTCCCACCATAACAGGATTAATGCATTCACTCTGATCTCATGGCCTAATCACTTCTCATTAGGTCACATCTCCTAACACTGGAGATCAAGAGGGGATCAACCATTGGGATCAAGTTTCTGATACATGTTTTTTGGGTACACATTCAAACTGTAACACCTTCCTTCAAATCACTACACAGATAGCATATGTCCAGAAAGTATGCTCTCAGGAGGTGAAAGATTTTGTGGGTATGTATGCCATTACATTACTTTATTCACAGAATGCTCAAAGCCTTGATTCTCTCTGCTTCTCATAATAAAAATGGATTTTTGTTTAGGTTTATACCATTAACCCCTAAATATCAGTTTCGATGGATATGTTTGAGACTAGGATATCTGATTTTAGTTTTTGCTCTGTGGTTGAGATTTGTGTGATTTATGTGATTTGGAGAAATTCACAGTCATCCATTCTAAATGGCTCAAGGTGAAACAAGGAGGGTTACTTCGTTTATGATAACCTTATTTTTTTTATTTTTAGGAATCTGACTTTCTTTGTCTTCTTGGTGAAAGCTACATGTTTGGAAGTGAGGATAGCAAGTTCAGCACTGATAATGGTGAAAATTTATATCCATTTGAAGAAGATGAAGACCAAAAATATAGTATATATGAAAGTGATTTCCAGATAGAATCTGAACTTTATGCAACGTCTGAAAGTACTTTGTTTGAAGACCAGTTTTCGGCATCAGAGGCTCCTGAAGATACCAGAAGTGCCAGTGAGTCAAAGGACTGGGAAGAAGTAAAAGCTGGAGGTATGGAACAGAATCATGTTCCAAAAGGGGATCATGTCTTGACATCCTTAACTATGTCTGAAGTACAAGGATGGTTTGGACTGGGGAAGGAACAAACTGAAGAGGCTTTTGAATCAGCTATTGAACAAGGAAGCTCATTTCAAAGCAGAACAACAGCAGTGGAAGATGAGAATGATCTACCAGAATTAAATAATGGTGAGCCCCAAACAGAGCATAGGCAAGAATCTGAATCTGAATTTGGTTCAGAGTCACCAGAATTTGACTTGGGGTCAGAGAAACAGTCTGAATTAGCATTGGAGTCAAATCATATTCTTAAATCTCAAGCCACTGGTTGGTTTGATGGTGGATTTACAAGTTACTTAGGTTTTGGAGAGGAGGATACAGGACTTGAGTTATTGTCCAAAGAAAGCCATCAACCACTACAAGATGTTCCCAGTGCCATATTATCTGACGAAGAAGCAACAGTTCCACATACAGAAATCTTAACAGAAAAAGAAGACATAATCATTAATGATAGCTCAATTCTCAAGCCAAGTTGGTTTGATTTTGGTTTTGGTATGCTAGGTTTTACATATGCCAATGAAGATAAAATTGCATCAGATGACAAAAAAAACAAAGAAGATGGTGGGGTAGATAAACATGAACATTCTCCAGCAAGTGAATTTGACCCTGACAAAGAACAAGAAATAAAAATGATGAAAATTATGGAAACAGAAGATCAAACAGGTAAGTGAAGAGTCTTAAGAGAAAATAGATGATTCTGATACCATACTATCTTTGAAAAAATCTTACACAATTTTGATAATCCTTGGAGCTTCCAGAACATTCCAAAGGAAATAATCATTATTTCCCAAGCAGATACTAGATAATAATATGCTTGAAAATGATGAAACAGAAGAATATTCAGTTGAAAATTATCCCACAGATTATGTGAAAGATGTTAGGATATTGAAAAGCAGATATAGCCAGTCAGGCTGGTATGAAGAGATTTATAACTTAATCTACTTGTTGACATAATTTATTTTTAAAATTATTTTTGGCAGTACTTGGGTTTGTACTCAGGGCCTCACACTTGCTCAGCAGACGCTCTGCCACTGGAGCCTCACCACCAGCCTCTTTTGCTTTGGCTGTTTTTGAGATAGGGTCTGACCTTGGTCCTCCAGTTGTGCTACCTGTATCTGGAATGACAGGCGTGCACCTTTGGCTGGGATGGGACTTCAGTAACCTTTGGCCCAGTCTGGTCTTTGACTTTAATCCTCCCATCTCCACCACCGAGTAGCTGGGATTATATGTGTGAGGAATTGTACCCAGCTGACATAACTTACTTATTTTCGGTAGTACTGGGGTTTGAACTTAAGGCTTCCTGCTTATTAGGCAGGCACTTTACCACTTCGCCACTCAGCCAGCCCTTTTATTGTGTGTGTTGGGTATATATTTTGAGGTAAGGTCTTACTTTTTTTTGCCTGGGTTGGCCTGGAATTGTGATCTTCCTGATCTCTGCCTCCCTAATAGCTATGATTACAGGTGTGAGCCACCAGCACCCAGCCATAATTTATTTTTGTAAGTACAAATCAGATGAAAAAGTTCAGAAATCCACGTTTTTTCAAAATATTCAATAATCAACAATCAACAAACCCATTTCAGTTTACTCTGGAACTTAAATTGTAATATTATAAAATAAAATCCCAAGGAAAAAGAATGATTGGAGGTTCACTCATACTGTAAGATCTTAAGGAATTTTACAATAACTTTTAATTGTTAACAATGTATTATATTTAAATAAATTTAAACATTTGATTTTTTTTTTTTTACAAAAGTTTTTTTTTGGTGAGACTTGGCTTTGAACTCAGGGCTTCATGCTTACAAAGCAGATGCTCTACCATTTGAGCCACACCTCCAGTGCATTTTGCTCTGGTTATTTTGAAGATGAAGTCTTTAGAATTATTTGCTCATGCTGGCCTCTCAATCTCAACCTCCCAAGTAGTTAGGATTACAGGTGTGAGCCAGCAGTGCCGGCTTATTCTGTCTTGATTAATCTAAATAGACATTTTAGACAATGTCTATTGATTTTCCATTCTTGTAGATAAGCATTTTTACTCCTTTATACTCAGTTTTTAGATTTTTCCAATACCACTGTATTTGAATAGTTTTCTTAGAAATCTAGGCTAAAGGAAACTCTAATAATTCAAAATATTCGTGTGTATGTGTGTGTGTGTATGTGACAGTGAGAGAGAGAGAGAGAGAGAGAGAGAGAGAGAGAGAGAGACAGAGAGAGACAGGGTCTCATTGTGTTGCCCTCAAATTTGTAATCCTCCTTACTCAGTTCCCAAGTGCTGGGACTCCAGACATCTGTCACCACTTGGCTTCTCAATTTTTAAATCTTAGTTCTGCATTTATGCTTTGTTTTGTTTTTTTCCCAGCTATGATAACAATGATTTTCTTTAAGTGTACAAGGTAATAAAGACTTTCAAGCAAAACTAAGATAAAAAGTTTTCAACTTTTTAAATTCTGAGCTTATTTATTTATTTATTTTTTATTATTCATATGTGCATACAATGCTTGGGTCATTTCTCCCCCCTGCCCCCACCCCCTCCTTTACCACCCACTCCACCCCCTCCCTCTCCCCCCTACCACCTCAATACCCAGCAGAAACTATTTTGCCCTCATCTCTAATTTTGTTGAAGAGAGAGTATAAGCAATAATAGGAAGGAACAAGGGTTTTTGCTAGTTGAGATAAGGATAGCTATACAGACTCACATTAATTTCCTGTGCGTGTGTGTTAACTTCTAGGTTAATTCTTTTTGATCTAACCTTTTCTCTAGTTCCTGGTCCCCTTCTCCTTTTGGCCTCAGTTGCTTTTAAGGCATCTGCTTTAGTTTCTCTGCAATGAGGGCAACAAGTGCTAGCTAATTTTTGGGTGTCTTAGCTATCCTCACACCTCCCTTGTGTGCTTCCGCTTTTATCATGTGATCAAAGTCCTGTCCCCTTGTTGTGTTTGCCCTTGAGCTAATGTCCGCATATGAGGGAGAACATATGATTTTTGGTCTTTTGGGCCAGGCTAACCTCACTCAGGATGATGTTCTCCAATTCCATCCATTTACCAGCAAATGATAACATTTCGTTCTTCTTCATGGCTGCATAAAATTCCATTGTGTATAGATATCACATTTTCTTGATCCATTTGTCAGTAGTGGGGCATCTTGGCTGTTTCCATAACTTGGCAATTGTGAATAGTGCTGCAATAAACATGGGTGTGCAGATGCCTCTGGAGTAACCTGTGTCACATTCTTTTGGGTATATCCCCAAGAGTGGTATTGCTGGATCAAATGGTAGATCAATGTTTAGCTTTTTAAGTAGCCTCCAAATTTTTTTCCAGAATGGTTGTACTAGTTTACATTCCCACCAACTGTGTAAGAGGGTTCCTTTTTCCCCCATATCCTCGCCAACACCTGTTGTTGGTGGTGTTGCTAATGATGGCTATTCTATCAGGGGTGAGGTGGAATCTTAGTGTGGTTTTAATTTGCATTTCCTTTATTGCTAGAGATGGTGAGCATTTTTTTTGGCCATTTGAATTTCTTCTTTTGAGAAAGTTCTGTTTAGTTCACTTTCCCATTTCTTTATTGGTTCATTAGTTTTGGGAGAATTTAGTTTTTTAAGTTCCCTATATATTCTGGTTATCAGTCGTTTGTTTGATGTGTAGCTCACAAATATTTTCTCCCACTCTGTGGGTGTTCTCTTCAGTTTAGAGACCATTTCTTTTGATGAACAGAAGCTTTTTAGTTTTATGAAGTCCCATTTATCTATGCTATCTCTTAGTTGCTGTGCTGCTGGGGTTCCGTTGAGAAAGTTCTTACCTATACCTACTAATTCCAGAGTATTTCCTACCCTTTCCTGTATCAACTTTAGAGTTTGTGGTCTGATATTAAGATCCTTGATCCATTTTGAGTTAATATTGGTATAGGATGATATACATGGATCTCCAACTGAGCTTATTTAAATAAGTTTGCAAAGTATAAATATCAAAAATTATTCTGACAATTCTATTAATAATTATAAAAAATGCATGTCTATCACTAATATGTATCTTAAAATTGAGGTTTCATTCATGTGAACATAATACTCTAGAATAATTAAATATGAAAATGCTATATGTATATGGAATATACATTTTTATTAATATGTATTAATTTCAAATGCAGTTAAAACAGTACTTTGAAAAAAGTCAATATAACCACATGTGCATTTGAACACAATTATTGAATATACCCTTTCCCCCAACGTCATTAAACATTGTCATAGACCACTGTTTGATTTTCATATCTCCAACAGTCTCAATGTAGTCAGGCTCCTGACAAGTGGAGTGTGGTGGTGGTACATGATGTAGTCCCAGCACTGTGGAGGCTTAGGCAGGAGGATCCCTGAAGTCTAGGAGTTCAAGACCAGTCTGGGCAACATAGTAAGACCGCCCCCCCCATCTCAAGCAAACAAAAAGCCCTGAGTTCAATCTCTAGCACCACATAAAACAAAAACAACAGACTCTTGATGTGATTGCTGTTTTGTTTTTGTTGTTGTTGTTTACTATCAATAATCACAGGTGATATTATTAAATTACTGACATGTGTTTTTCACCTGGGACTTTTGTCTTTTAAACAATGCTAAGTAAGTGACAGCTTCCACATGCTCTGTTAAGAATGACTAACTCATAGAGTAGTCTCTTAGGACATGACATTTCTTTTCAGGACTACACTGGTTCCTTTCAATTCTTCTCTGAAAAAGTCACTGAGAACTAGACCCTACAGTTCTCTTGAACACTGGACTTCAGCATAGGGCTAATTACAACTTTTTTTTTTTTAAATCTTGCTTAAGAACTGGGGTTGTGGCACAAGTGGTGGAACGCTTGCTGTAAGTTCAATCCCTGCAAGGAAAAAAGCATCCTGTTTGATTAGTCAATTGAATCAAGTGATCTGTTTAAACTATGTTTGAAAACTGAATTAGTTTTCTTGAAATAAATTGATGGCTATTGTGACCTGACATGGATATAATTACATGACTATATACTACAAACATAACATTTTTTTTTTCTAAGCCCAGGCTGGCCTCAAACTTGACCTCCTCCTGCTTCGGCCTCTCCCGTGATGGGATTGTGCATGTACAGCATCACACCTGGCTTAAATTTATCACACCTGTGATAATTTTTAACCTGTATGTTTCAAATGGAAAATGTTAAAATTTATTTTGTGGGAAGGATAATCCTTTTAAAATGAAGGTTTTCAAGAAATGTACATACATATTTTCATTGTAAATTAAGTTCATGTACATTGTGGTTCAACTTAAAGATTTCATTGGTAGCATAAAAAGCAGAAAAATCAGAAACATCTTATTTAAACCTATATCAGCATTGTGTCATTAAAATGAAAAAGAAAACTTACATTTTTCCATAAAATAATAAGCATTTTATCAGTTGGGCAACATGGTTTTTATCTAATAGAGTAGATTTACCTGACTTCTATAAAAAAGCAATGATAAGTTTGTAATTTCTCGAGTTTTTTATTGATGCAATATGTGAACTTTATGAAGTCACCAAAGGAGAAATCAATCTTAATGTGAAGTTTTACCTTTTCCACACACACTCATAACATAAAAGTGATTCAAAATACAATTTAGTATTGATTTTACTTGATTTCTCAACACTGCCTTATGCCACACAGGGTCTGAAAGAGAAAAGAAGCCTATGTATTTATATACTCATGGTGGAATGCATTCCATTAACAGTTGGGTGAGAGTATTTTGTAGTGGGTTTTTTTCATATTACTTATTTAATTTGGTTTTTTTTTTTTTTTTTGGTGGTACTGATGTTTAAGCTCAGGGCCTTGTGCTTGTTATTTGAAGACTCTACCATTTGAGTCTCACCCCAGCTTACCTTGTTTGTAATATCAGTATTTTCCCTGCACAAATTTGTAAGACGTCACTATTTTAATCTTTTTCTTTTTCCCTGCAGTACAGCGGATTGAACTCAGAGGTTCATGCTTTCTGGACAAGTACTCTAGCACTTGAGCCACACCTCAGTCCAAGGGCATTGGCCTGGAGGTTCACATCTGTATTCAGGGAAGATGAGGCAGGAGGATACTGAGTTTCTTTGTTTTGTTTTGTTTTTGGTGGTACTGGGGCTTGAGCTCAGGGCTTTGCGCTTGTTAGGCAGATATTCCACTGTTTGAGCCATACCTCTAGCCCTTTACATGGTAATTTCTAAAATAAATTGATTAATTCCTAAAAATATCTTAAATAATGGCATCAAGAATATATTTTGGACTTGCTTTCTATATTTGTTTTATACAATATACTCTAATAATAGTAATTAACATAATGTACTCTAAAATGTAAGACATCCTAAAAATGGTAATAAGAATTTCTCTAAATCATATTTTCCTCCAAAATTTTCACTTGATACAAAGAATGGATTTGATTATAGGAGTTTAAAAGCTTCTATTGCTTCAGTTTCTTTTTAAATACCCCTTCAATGATATAGTATGATATGGTATATAGTAATAAAGTAGAATGGACACAGGACGAAGGGGGAAATCAAGGTTGGAATTTGAAATTAGTCACTCTTCAACAGAACAGAAAAAGTACAAATTGTGACATTTGATTGGCACCTTATTATTTTCAAAATTGTTTCAAATATCCTAAGGGTATGAGCACCTTCTCGAGCAAATGGCTAATAAGATTTTTTTTTCTTTTTTGTGGTACTGGGGTTTGAACTTAAGGCCTCATGCTTGCTAGGCAGGCACTCTACCACTTGAGCCACTCCACCAGCCCTTTTTTGTGTTTGGTAGTTTTGAGAAAGGGTCTCACAAATTATTTGCTTGGGCTGCCCTCAAACTGTAATCCTCCTGATCTCTTCCTCCCAAGTAACTAGACATGAACCATGGCACCTGGCTAATAAGATTTCTTTAGCAGTGGGGTGGTTTTAAACCTTTGGAGAAGGTTTAAGTGATAATGGCTTTTATATTTAATACTGCATATTAACAGATATTCATGATACAGTGAGTAGATCTGAGGTTTAAACTCTAGGATTATAGCTGTGAGCCACCAGTGCTTGGCTTAGTATTGCCTTTCTTTGTGCAACTATCTTTGCTATTTATTACATAAAATTAATTATCTATATCAAGTGGCCTATAGATACTATAAATAATTTTGGTCATTCTGAGTCCCTGGTTCTCCAACAGATAAAGTAAGAAAAATCTACTTCATTGATTTTCTTATAAGATAGAGAATGTATTTTTTCAATGCTGCTTGCCTTTTTGGATAATAAATGTGTCTAAAAGAAATGCAATCTTAATGGATCTATTTATTATCTTATTCTCAGTCATAAGCTTACCTAGTACAACAGAGTTGTTAGCAGTTATGTTAGTTTTTGTTTGTTTGTTGTTTTTGAGATGGGGTCTTGCTACATAGTCCATGCTGGCCTTGAACTTGAAATCCTCCTGCCGCTGCCTCATGAGTTTTGTCATTACAGTATGCACCATCAGGCTGTGGTTAGACTTTTAAAAAACATAGTTTTTAGGACAAAAGGGTGAGATATATATAGAGTAGAATTGTATACAGTTTTTGCAAGTCTTTCTTGGTTAGGAATAAAGGAAATGGTATGTGGCAGGTTAAATAAAGGCTCCTCAAAGGTGCCTGTGACCTAACCTACAGACTCTGTGAACACGTTGCTTAACATGGCAAAAAAGACTTTGCAGAAGTGCTTAAGGAGCCTGAGGAGAGGTTCTCCTTTTGGGGGACAGAATTTGAGGGGGGGTTGAACTCAAGGCCTTAGCACTTGCTTCACACTTCAGCCACGCCTCTAGGTGGAAAGATTATCTTTGTGGTCCCAGTACAATCATGTTTCCTTGTAAGAATAAAGCAGGTCAGAATAAGAAACAGATTAGACGATGCTATACTGCTGGGTTTGAAATTGGAGGATGGTGCCATAGAGTCTTCTAGAAGGTAGAAATGAATTTTCCCTCCAGAAAGATGCAGTCATGCAGGTATCTTGGTTTTAGGATCTTTGACCTCCAGACCTCTAAAAGACTAAATTTCTATTATTTAAGCCACCTCAGTGATAGGTACTAAGGCAGGCTACAACTTATGATTTAGTGCATTCTTTCTCAAATGAAATGTCACAAGGACCATGGAGGTTCAGAATGACCTCTTACAGCCTAAGAGGGAAGCCTGCAACAGGGCAAGTGGTTTAAAAGAGACATGTTTTGTTTATTTGCAGATATGGTCTCTGAAACAGAGTTATCTATGAGAATTCATGAAGAAATATATCAGAAAACCTCACCTTCTAAAAGTAATGAAAAATCAACATCAGTAGACTCTGAAGGGTCTGCGCAGGTGGAAGCAGACAGCTCTGAGGGAAATATTCTGTTGAACAGCCAGATGGTTGCAATGGACGGCTCTTTGCTTTCTGAAAATGACATTCTTCAGAAAGGTAAGGAATGGGTTAGTTCTCTAGTTCACTAAGTAACAAGGAAATTGGATTCAGACGTTTTATATCAAGTATTAACAAACTTATTTATAAACCAACAGAAGATGCTACAGAGTTTTGGATTCTGAAATACTTGTTTCAACTTGATGTTTATGATGTCATGAATTCTGCATTTTCACCAATTCTAATTCTTATGGAAAGGGTAAGTTGGCCTTTAATTTTTTTAATTGAGATTGTATTGGTTGTCTTATTTTTTTGCAAACCTTTTAAATTTTTTTGCAATCATTTTATTAAATGTAGGAGTGACTTCAAAATATGTTGGAGTGACTTTTCCCTATGTAAGCTTTATATAATGTTTCTTTTTATCAAATCTTACATGTGAGACTTTTTTTTTTTTTTTGCAGTATTGGGGTTTGAACTCAGGGTCTATACCTTCAGCCACTCCACCAGCCATTTTTTGTAAAGGGATTTTTTGAGATATGGTCTCACGAACTCTTTGCCTGGACTGGCTTTGAACCTTGATCCTTCTGATCTCTGCCTCCTAAGTAGCTAGGATTACAGATGTGAGCCACTGGCACACAGCTAAGACTTCTCTTTTACATAAAGGTTTTGTTATGCAGATGTTAAGGAATATTTATTTATTTGAAGATACTGGGGTTTGAACTCAGGGTCCAGGACCTTTGTACTTCCTAGGCAGGTGCACTACCTCTTGAGCCACACCTCCCAAGAATTTTAAAAAACCTTTCCTTAAGCTTTGTTGATCTTGAAGAATATATTTTTCTTTTTTTCAAATTAGGGAAAATTACACTGAACAAGTTACCTCAGATAATATGAATTAAAAACTCTCAAGCAAATAATTAGTATTCAAATAAGAGCTATAATTTCAAAATGGTGTAAAGTGACAGTACAAAAGTAACTAAGAGCTTAAAATTTAACCAAGCTGTAACTAAAGTTCTAAATTCTGTTCACTTTCTCAATTATTATAAATCTTATTGTCAAGTGAGAGGCACTACTGCAAAATAACCCAGCTGTAGTACTTGGCACACAGGAGGCCTTTTACAAACTCTATATACTGTAGCCACAAAAGTCATTTGGGAAGTGCTTTTTTTTTTTTTTTTTTTGGTAACACTGGTGTTTGAACTCAAGGCTTCATACTTGTTAGGCAGGTGCTCTTACCACTTGATCCACCCACCAGCCTCCTTATTTATTTATTTATTTTCTGGAGATTAAAGCCTCATGAACTATTTGTCTGGGGTTGGCTTTGAACTGAGATCCTTCTGATCTCTGGCTCTTGAGTAGGTAGGATTACAGGCATGAGCCACTAGCTCCTGGCTAATTTTTACTTTTAACTCGTGTCTTCCTTTTTTTGGTGGTACAGTGGTTTGAACTCAGGGCCTCACACTTGCTAAGTAGATGCTCCACCACTTGAGCCACCATGCCAGCTGTTTTATGTTGGGTATTTTAGAGATAGGGTCTCAGAAACTATTTGCCTGGGGCTGCCTTTGAAACCCAGTCCTCCTGATCTCTGTCTCTGAATAGCTAGGATTATAGGTGTGAGCCACAGGCACCTAGTTCTATCTCAATTTTTAATGCTAGCAAATATTCAGATTAAAAACAACCATGTGGGTCAGATAAAACATTCTGAGTTGTATTTGCGGCACTAGCCACACTTTAAAACCCTTTATCTAAAATCTGATAGTGGTTATTAAAATGATTGGAAGGACTTTTTTTTTTTTTCTCCTACAGGGCTTCCAGCTTGCTAGGGTGGGCCACAACCTAAGCTTTAGTTATTTTTCAGATGGGGACTGGTGCTATTTCCTGGGCTAGGCTTGGACTGCAATCCTCCTACCTATGCCTCTGCAAAGCTGGGATTACAGACATGACCACTACCTCTGGACTGTTTGTTGAGATAGGGTCTTACTTTTTTCCTGGGCTGGCCTCAAACTGCAATCTTCCCAGTCTCAGCCTCTCAAGTAGCTAGCATTACAGTGGACTTTTTTTTTTTTTTAAACAGTTAAGAGTTCATTTGGTTTAACGACTGATTGAATATAGCAAAGGGAATTAAGGGGAAGTAAGGGAAATTGTTACCAGGTTTTTAGCAAGGAAGACCAGGTAGATGGTGGTGCTGCTAATTGTGATGAATCTGTGTGTAGACTGGACTTCATAGTGTACATTATTTTGCTTTCAGAGGCCTCTTCTCAACTTCTTTGCTAGTTTCTAGAGACTGGGTATAATATGATTAACAAGTTCAGTGAAATCATGAATTTGCTCTGTATGATTTGGTCTTGAAGATGATTAAAAATGTTACTCAGAAATCTGCTCCAGGTTAGGAGAAAAGAAAAGCTAGTAATAATGATAATTGTAAAAACAGTCATAATAAAAGTTTCAACTCCCCGTGGAATAAATTCTACTTACTGGTGTGTCCCGTTGACATATTCCCCATCTCTTTAATGCCTCCACCACAAATTACACCAGTGCAGTTAAGGAGTTGAAAAAATAGTGACATTTGGGTCTAAATTAAGTGCTTATTTAATAAAGTCTATTCTAAGTATACATACTGTTGTGGACTTAGTAAATATAATCACACACATTTTATTTGGACCATTTTTGCTTAAAATTCTTTAGACATGGAAATATTGAATTTAAACTTACGCTAATTATCTGTGATCTTGGGAAGTCACTTATTTTTTGGGAAGGGCATTTTGGTATTAAAACTTTAGGTCAGAAGCTGAGACTAGATCACAGGTTGTTGGTGAAAATACCCTTGTAACATTGTTTAAGACAGTTGTGAATTAGTTGTCAATATTTAAAAGGTGAGTTCATTTTAAAATCTGGATTCCTGGGTTCTCTTGAAAAACTATTAGATTTTTTTGTTGTTGTGCTGGGTAAGGGTACACTGAAAGTCTTCCATTCTTGTATGGCAAGAAGTTCAAAGCTTACGTAGACATGTGCTTTACAGCGGTTATTTCAACTGCTTGGCCTTTATGGGGCTTCAGATCCATAACCCTTGGATTAAATGTTCTGAAGAGTTCTTAACAGGTCTATAATTCTAATAATCTGAGCATATCTATTAAGCACTGATAATATAGATTTGAATAGTTGCAGCAAGCAGAAAACTTGTGCAATTTTTCCAGTTAAATTTAAGTGAAAAGGCTTTCTTTTCTTCTTGCCTAAATGTTTCAGGCAATTATTTCAACTTACTGGTAATTTCAGGCAAATTTTGCCCAGAACACAAATTTCTTTGTATCATTCAAGTAATAGCAGTCGACAGTACTCTTTGTCTACTTTATTTTATATTTGAGACACATCTTTGAGTTCTAACATTTATATACTTCTACTTAGAATGCTTTATTTATAAGTGGAATAAGCAACGAAGGTTACCCAGCTCTTGTTCAACAGGTAGCTTCTGATTCAATATATTCTGAGAACTCTTATGTCACTAATACAAAGAATGACAATGTGGTTCAATAATTTCTGTTTCCAGGTTGTGAACAAAGTTTACTGTTAGCATGTTTTCAATGTTTGGATGTTTTCTAGTAGCTGTTACGAATACTAATACCACTTGTTTTCCATTTCCTTTAAAGCAGGTCCTGTAAGTGACAGTAAAACCCCATGTCTGCTTTATGGAGAACAATTCAAAGATACCATGTATCTTTTACATGGCAGAAACTACACTGTATATGAATAGATTATAGAAGAAAACATTCAATTTAGTGTTTAGTTAGTTGTCAAATTTATGATTTTTCTTTCCAATGGTATATTTTAAGAGGGTAGTGATGTGTAGGATAATCCAGAAAACATATACACAGGCATATGTGTGTGTGTCTGTAGTTAATGAGGTTTGAGGTCCATGAAATTGGATTATGGGTTGATAGTCACAACTCCACCTGTAGCACCCCTATGTCACACAAGTGTCACAACAGGATCACAGGCAGTATAGAGATAGGAGTGCCAAGGTATTAGATCTGAAATCTCTCTCAAGGTATGAGGTACCTAGAACTTTTCTTACATGCTAGGATATTTTAACATGAATTTTCTGAGAAATGGAATTGAAAGATCTGGAGGAAGAAGTAAGTGTTTATATATGACTATTAAGCATACAGCGATTCCTTGGAATTTTGTACTGAGTTTGTTAAGCTTTACTGTCCTTTTGCTATGGGACATCTTAGTCTTTTCTTCTCTTTTTTTAAATTTCATGTATTCTTTCATCCTTAATCTGTTTTTACTATTTGGAATAATTTTAAGTGGTAATGATTAAAAATTGGAAAGAGCACAGACTAACACAGGGAGGGCAAAAGGACATTTTTAAAAAAAGCACATCCTAAAAGTTGAATGTGATTCTTGAGTCCCCTGAAGATACTCCGACTCATTTTAGAATTTTTATCGAGTAATAATAGTGCGGTCTTCGAAATTCCAAAGATAAAATTCTGATTATGCCACTGTTGCGACTTTAGAATTCACATAATCTCATTTCGGACCCACTGCTCAACATGTATGGATGTTGCGCAATACCTTTAAAAGGACGAATTGTTAAGAAACTTCTGCTCTGATAACTAGCAGTTCCTGAAAGTCCTTAGGCTGATGTGGCAAAGAAGAGTGACTCGAGTTCTGAAAAACTAGGCCGCGTTTTGGTCCTGAAAGTCACTTGCTGTAATCTTGAGCGTTTTTGGATTTTTTTTAAAAAATGGCCTAAGAGTTGCTACATTAGCCTACATTAGGGAACCAGATGAAGTTCTCAGAAAGAAGTTCTTGCTCCTTTTCGAGTTGCTTCAGTGCAAACTCGAGTTAGGAAACAGTTTATGCAGGTAAGAGACGGGTTACCTATACCTTAGGCCACCTCGATTCGTCCCTCACCGTACTTTATGCAACAGCCCTATTAATAGGGTCCTAAATCTAGAGGGCAAGCCGCTACTTTTGGCGCTCTCGCAAGAGGGAGGCACCAGGCGCTGGGCGCTAGGAGCTAATGGGGTTTAAGGCAGGTGCCCAGGTATCTAAGGTGAGCGGCCTGGCCCGGTCCCCGCAGAGCAGGGCAGAAAAGGTTAACCACCGACCCGGAGCTGCGGTGGCTAAGTCCAAAGTCCGAAGCGGCTGGCTGGGTGCCCTCGCCCCGTAGGCCGTTCGTTCCCGACGGGGATGGGGCGGCCGCTTCGGCGGGGCCCGCGGGGTATCCCGGGGTACGGCGGCCAGGGCCGGGCAGAGGGT